TGGCCCATTTGGTCAAAGGTGCAGTCTATTTCAGTTGCCTCAAAATAGCAACGTGCCAACAATGCGCCTGAACACACCTCGTTTTCAGACCAGCATGCCCCTGGGCGCACAAATGGGCGCAAATGCATTTGTTATTTAAACAACATGGCGCAGGACGTAAAAATTATAACTGCGTCGGGCTGAAACTAGCAAAAAACGCCAGGTGTATGATAGGGCCCTTTACTTTTACTTTTACTTTTAGTCATTTAGCAGACGCTTTTATCCAAAGCGACTTACAAATAAGAAAAAGTAATTAAAACTAAAAGCTAAAACTCTATAAATACTATATATATACACACATTTAAGAAAATAAAAGAAATTAAATAAAAATGACAAATGCATACAACAACACTTCAAAACTAAACACAGTAAACAAAACAAGTGTTTCCTAGCAACGACAACTGCGCTAAACACTGAGACAAGAAATAAATACACTTACAAGCTGCTTTTAACTTCTGCTGATTGACTGCTTCTCACAAACACAATTTCTTTACACTGTTTTGCTGGCGCTTGAACACACTTTCCTGTTTATCCCAACAAATGGCCAAGCAAAGCGCACGACACTGACAAGGTACACGATACAGTACGAGACCAAACGCCATTTTATGATTAATTTTTAAACCTTTATGATTAATCTTCTGTGAATATTGTGTTATTGAGAAGTTATTGGTTGCAAAATGTGTTTTTTTAATTTGAAATTGTTATCTTTGTAAGCAGTTATCATACACTGTTTAATAACCACTTAACAACACCAGATGTTTCCTGATATATTTCTCAATATATGATTGTGTCCGCTTCAAGTTGTCACAATAACTGGGGTCAGACAACAGGATTAGGGTCTTCAAGAGTTCACTGCAAAACTTATAGAATTAACCGCACAGGTAATTCATTAAATCATGATCCAGCATATTACATTTAAAGTCAAGTCAAGTCACCTTTATTTATATAGCGCTTTATACAATTCAGATTGTGTCAAAGCAGCTTTACAGATTCAAACAGGAAAAAAGTGTGCTGATAAAGCAAGAAGACAACAGAAAACAGTCAGTTTATTAGTTAAAGTCATTGTTGATTCAGTGATGTCATCGTCCAGCTCAGTTCAGTTCTCTTCCAATAGTGTCTGTGCAGTCAAGTCAACAATGCTGCCAGAAATTGTATCCCAACTAAGCAAGCCGAAGGTGACAGTGGCAAGGAACCAAAACTCCATCGGTGACAGAAATGGAGAAAAAAAACCTCTCCTCTGGCCAGACGAAACGAGCATGGTGTGTTAATTCAAGGCTGCAACACATGTCAGATTGAGCAGAGGACTCGTCTGGTTCTCGTGGTCTTGTGCCGATGGCTGTCTAGTTGATAAGGTCTTCGCAGGTTGATCTGTCTCTAGGGTTCGTCTAGTTGACATGGTCTCTGCTGACATTCAGTGCTGGAGAGGTCGTCTCTAGGTGCTGATCCACCATCTGGACTTTAATGCGATATGAGCTCGCTCAAGTACTGAGGAGCTAAACCATTCAGGGCTTTAATTAGCAATATTTTAAAATGTAAACAATGTTTAATAGGGAGCCAGTGCATTGTTGAGAGAACCGGGCTAATATGGTCATACTTCCTGGTTCTAGTAAGAACTCTAGCTGCTGCATGTTTGGACCAGCTGGAGTTTGTTTATTAAGGGCACAGAGCAACCACCCAATAAAGCATTACAGTAATCTAACCTTGAGGTCATGAACGCATTAATTAAAGTTTCTGCATTTGACATTCAGAGCATCAGCATAGGTTGTAATTTAAATATATTTTTAAGATGTAAAAATGTGGTTTTACAAAATAGAAACTTGACTTTCAAAGGAAAGGTTGCTATCAAAAAGCACACTAGGTTTCTAACTAATGATGAAGAATTGAGAGTGCAGCCATCAAGTGTTAGACAGTGTTCTAGATTATTACATGCAGATGTTTTTGGTCCGATAATTAAGACCTTTGTTTTTTTTTTATTTAACAGTAGGAAATTACTAGTCATCCAGTTTTGTTAAATCAACCATTCCTTTAGTTTTATGAATTGGTATGTTTCGTCAGGCAGCGAACAAACATAGAGCTGAGTATCATCAGCATAACAGTGAAAGCTAATACTATGTTTCCTGATGATATCTCCCAAGGGTAACATGTAAAGAGTGAAAAGCCACGGTCCTAGTACTGAGCCTTGTGGTACTCCATAGATTTTTGATAGATATAATACCTCTACGAAATAATGATAGTCAGATTGGTATGATTTGAACCATGATAATGCAATTCCACTAATGTCAACATAATTTTCTAGTCTATTCAAAAGAATGTTGTGGTCGATAGTGTCGAAGGCAGTGCTAAGATCCAGTAGCACTAATAGAGAGATACAACCACGATTGGATGATAAGAGCTGGTCATTTGTAACTTTCAAAAGAGCAGTCTCAGTACTGTAATACGGTCTAAATCCTGCCTGGAAAACATTTAGAAATTGCACATTTCAAAGCATCATTTTTGTGTATGTCACCAAATTTGTGACGTGGGAAGTCCAGAATTTGGCACAGAGTGTCATTACCTCCATAACCACAGTTGATTCACACAGAATATGTGATTGTGCACTGAAGGTGTGTGATACAAAGTGAAATTAAGAAAATGTTTTTTTTCTGAAACATACATACTGAGCTTTAGTTGAAGATGTACATCATTCTTTACAATACTTTATAGCAGTTGATTATCAGCTGGTTACGATCCACTGCTTTATGCAACATCATAAAGAAATACCCAAAAGACTAGAGCTTCTTTTAGACCTGTTTATTGGCATTAGATATCAGTATAGTTGGAAATATATATATATATATATATATATATATCAGAGTGAATGGTTAACCTTAATTTCCCTTGTTTATTAACTCATTTATTCATTATTATAAAATAAAACGTCTGAATTACATAGTTTTAGCTGGTCATTTCCAAGTACCAGATTTATTCAAGAAACATTTAAGACTTTTCCTTGACATTATACTGTTCCTTTACATTTTATTAAAATGTTGTATCAGACCAAAGAGCTCTGGGTGAAAATTGTGTTCATGTTACATGACTTAGATTACTATAGTATAGTACTACAGTAGTAACTTTACTTAAAAATAAAAATAAAATGTTTATACTTTCCCCCAGAAATGTTTTGTTTTGTTTTTTAAATCATAAATTTCATGAACATGTAGGCTATGAAATGTTTTTATGTAAATAAGACCCTCAAATAAATTAGTGTTATGTCAGTCAGATCATTCTATCACAGGCACAAAAATGTAAAGAAATGCCATGTCATGGTTTTAAATACAGGAAGGGTGAATAAACTCAACGTGTACATTTTAGCCTACCTCTTATATAAAGTAGTACATCCATCATTTTATTTGAACTATATACTCAGTATTACATTTTAGTGAAATTCAATAATAAATAAAATAATCCTAGAATAGTAGTATGAAGAATATCATAACAATGCAGAATTCTTAAGTGTAGTACCGGGATAATAATGACTGGCAAACTAATGGCCAGGGAAACTCACATCCAGGACTTTCACTATCAGCACTGGCGCCCCTCAGGGATGTGTGATCTCCCCACTGCTCTTCTCCCTGATGACTTCACCTCTAAAGACGCCTCTGTCAAACTCCTGAAGTTTGCGGATGACACAGTCATCCAGGATGGTGACGAGACTGTATATAGAAATGAGGTTGAGCAGCTGGCTGGCTGGTGCAGTCTTAACAACCTGGAGCTCATCACTATCAAAACTTTGGAGATGATAGTGGACTTCAGGAGGAACCCCCCTGCTCTCCCCCCACTCACCATCATGAACAGCACTGTGGCTGCAGTATTCATTCAAGTTCCTGGGCACCACCATCTCTCATGACCTGAAGTGAGACATTCACAATGACTCTATTGTAAAAAAGGCCCAGCAGAGGTTGTACTTCCTTCGCCAGCTGAGGAAGTTCAACCTGTCACAGGAGCTGCTGAAACAGTTCTACTCGACCGTCAGTGAGTCCTGTGTTCATAACTGTTTGGTTTGGCTCAGCTACCAAATCAAACATCAGGAGACTATTCAGCCCACTTTCTATTTGAACTGTTGCCCTCTGTCCGGCGCTATAGAGCACTGAGCACCAGAACAGTCAGACACAAGAGCAGCTTTTTCCCCCAGGCCATATTCCACCTAAATCAGGGGTGTCCAATCCTGCTCCTGGAGGGCCACTGTCCTATAGAGTTTGGTGCCAACTCCAATTAAACACACCTGAACCAGCTAATCAAGGTCTTACTAGCATACTAGGAACTTTCAGGCAGGTGTGCTGAGGCAAGTTGGAGCTAAACTCTATAGGACAGTGGCCCTCCAGGACTGAGTTTGGACACAGACCTAAACAATACATAACACATCTCAGACTGTACATCTGTAAATAACTTCTCAAAACTTTTCATCTGTAAATAGCACATACGCACAATCACAATTCCTTTAACAATAATTTATTTGAATTTTAAAACGTAAAATTTTTTGACCCTTATATTTTGCTGTTGTATTTTTTTCATTATTATTTCTGTATAATATTTGTATTATTTTCCCCAAATTCTGTGTTTTCCATTTAAATTTTTCCATTTCAGTGGTTTAATTATTTTTTAATTCATAACATTTTATCATTTCAATTATTTAGTACATTTTTTACAGTAATATACCTTAATCAGATGTGCTTTAATTTTCTGGAACATGACTGTATATAAATTTATTAGCAAAAATAGTGGTAATCAAATGAAACCATAAAACATTAACAATTTGTGAATCAATCAATTATTTTTTTAAGCATAATGTAATGAAATTAAATTTTTTGGTAAATGAGGTTGTGCGGAAATCATATGGCCCAAGACATTTTAAAGCTGGTCTGTTTATAAGTAAATGCATATGAAGTTATAATTGTGAATTGAAAAAATGTTGTCCACTACAGTGATTCGGACATTTCCATTGACGTAGAGACGGTCACACCCATGCCAATGCCTCTCTATGACAATCAGAAAGCCCGTAGTGTGATGAACGAGTGTGATCGTCACGTTCTGTTTGCTCGAACCATCGCTGATGGACCACTTCCTCCTGATGATTGGGAAGAACACATCAACAAGTAAGAAAAGCTGCTGTAGGATAACTACAAGTTTGCAGATGTATGAGAAGAAAAATATAGTTTTCTCGAACATCTGAGATGCTCTGTTGGTGATCAACTGTTCTTCAATCTGTTTTAGGGCTGGCTGGTCATTGGCTCAGAACAAGCTCTTCAATAAAGTATTGAAAGCACTGCAGGCAGAAAGACTCAGCAGACTGGCCAATGAGGGGGTGAGTTTTCAAAACTGGGTTTAACTCGCAAGCTCTGTTTTGTTCAGTTAAATGCAAGAGCTGCTGATTATTAAAGGTGCTTGTAACTATTTTTTCACTGGCTGTAATGATGGTGGTCCTAGACCAGGGGTCGGGAACCTATGGCTCGTGAGCCACACCTGGCTCTTTGACAAAAATCATGTGGCTCGCCACTTTATATTATTTTTTTATTTATTATCTATTCTCTTTATTATTAGTGTTAATAATAGTTAATTTGTGTTTTATTTCATTTTATTACCTTAAATTATATGTATGTCTGCACTATGTCTGTACTTTCTGCACTGGAAGCTCCTGACACCAAGACGAATTCCTAAACACACTTGCCAATAAAGCCCTTTCTTGATTCTGTTTGTGAACTCCAGTCCGGGTTTCTCGCAGCGCCAAACAGCTCCGCAGACGCGGAACATACTCCAGTCCGGGTTTTCCGTTGAGCCGCTGTGGCGCGGTAGTAAAACAAAAGACAGTCGGGCCATAGCTGAACCTTTATAAGAGTGGATATCATTTTGTCGGAGTTTATTGGTTTCTTGTCGCATGAACCCGATTTCTTCAGTATTATCTACATTATTCAGAAGACCGTTCTTTGGACCGAAATGACATGAAAGGAGCCTGATACTGGACAGTAAGTATTGTGAAATGAGTTAGCCTCCGAGCTAACAGCCTGCCAGATCATATTATAGCACTGTAATAACCACACCTAAACATTTCCGGCTTTCTACGTTTTGCTTCATAGATCAAGCAATACAGGGAATATTTAAGGTAATTTATTGTGATTTAAAAGCTCAGCTGGCATGTGTGTGTGTGTGTGTGTGTGTGTGTTGGGTTTAACTCGCAAGCTCTGTTTTGTTCAGTTAAATGCAAGAGCTGCTGATTATTAAAGGTGCTTGTAACTATTTTTTCACTGGCTGTAATGATGGTGGTCCTAGACCAGGGGTCGGGAACCTATGGCTCGTGAGCCACACCTGGCTCTTTGACAAAAATCATGTGGCTCGCCACATCTCTCACCCTTTACCAACAAATGATCTATTACAAAAATTAGACATCGCTAGAGATCAGCAATTCCTTTGTTGTAGAGCCTACATAAGCTGAAAAAAATTTTTACCGGCCAAAGTGCGCTTTCAGTGCTGTTCACGAGTCAAACCACTGACGTGTCTATGGTAATGTAGAGCTAATAAACTCAGATTCAAGCAGCTACGTAGCTTGTTTGTGGTAATAGCGAAAAGAAAGATTTTTTGAACAGCAGAAAAAGTGTAAAAGTAGGCTATGTAAAAAAAAAAAAGTGTCAGGACTGAAACATATTTGTTTTATATAAGATGGTGTTTTCCTGTGCCAAGAGCCAGTATGAAACATTTCGCAGGTTACTTTCGCTTTTTCCGCGCAGCTTTCAGCGGGTGGGACTGTTAGCGTTATTAATAAAGGAACGTGAATGAATGAGACAGATTTAAAAGCTCAGCTGGCATGTGTGTGTGTGTGTGTGTGTCGCGGGCCCGTGCGTCTCACTGCAGCCTCGCGCCACTCCCCGGGTCACACAGAAACTATTACATTAAAATACAATTTAACGTAATTTAACGAAGCTAAGCGCGGTAACACCAACCACCTCCGTATGTTGTGCTTCAGTAGCTACTTTAGCAGTATTTCTTGGTTAACATCTGTGCTTGTGAGGCTTACAAGCAGGGACCCCCTAAAAATGTACCATTGTAACTTTGTTGTTTCCACTATTGTTGCTACATTAAATCTGTGGTAAGTTAGCATTAGCCACCACTCTCATTAAAAAATAATAACAAATGCCAGTAAGATCATAACAAAGATCTCAATAATTTAGCACTTTACTCAAGTAGAAATAACTGTTTTTTTGGACGAACATACTAAAGCATATGTAAAAGTACCTGAAGACAGTAAAGAGTGGAACATGCTTGATATTAAAAACACAGAGCATTAAAATCTCAAAGCCGCGAAACAGAACTCAATCCGCTTCTGACTAGATGTTTTCTGCGCGCAAGGTCCGAGTGGAACATGGACAAGCAGTAGGTGGCGCGCCTAAAACGGTCAAAACACGGGAGTGTCAAAATACCTGCGCTGGTGTGTATTCACATAAATACGGTCGACATACGCACCGTGCATTATTCTTCACTCACTCAATCTCTCTCTCACACACACAGAGAGAACTCTGAAGAGAATTAATCTCCCTGTAAATGAACTTCACAGTAAAAGCCCTGCACAGTTTTTCCTTCATCGTTACAAATATTTAAATAGAAATATATGTAAGTTTCAATAGAAAGGTTTCATTTAGCGGGATGCTTGATACTGAGGGATTGTTTCATTGCAGGGTTGATGTTTACGGTGCAAGCGTCCCATTTTTGCAGGAACCGCAGAGCCTCCGTGTGGGGCCTGAGGACCATGTTCCGTCCTGGAGGAGAGAGAGACTTCCAGACGTCGGCTCGTAGGATGGGGACGTCCCTGCTCTTCCAGCTGTCGGTTCATGAGCGAGAGTTGGACCTCGTGTTTCTTGACCACAGCTATGCCAAACCCTGGAACGCCCACCCGGATGCCAGCAGTGCGCGGCCCACCCGCATGCTGTTCGTCACCCCGCGGCGGCAGCCGGAGCCTTCTGTGTGAGTGAAGAATTCTGGATTATCAGTGGCGGGAGATATTTTGCCTGGTTTACACTTGGAATTGACACCTGTTTTGGGTGATCTGATCACAAGTTATCAAGTGCAAGTTAGCATCTCAAATCATTTCTCCTGGAGCTCAAATGTGTCTGATAATAGTGTAGCGCACTAGCGCTGTCTGCTTGTGATCAGATTGCCTGAAACAAATGTTACATCACTGGTTTGCAACTATGTTCATTATTTAGATTATTTT